GAGGCTGCTCAATTCTAAATTCTCGAACTTTTTCCACTTCCCGTTCTCGCATTTCCTCAACTTTTGCCGATCGGCTAACGAGGGCCGGCCCTGACGGCCGCCCGAGGACAGAACTCGAGCTGCACTCTATGTGCCGCATTCCTCGTTGTTTGCTGTATCCAAGAATGCGGGTAGATCGTGCTCAATGTTAGCTCTCGTTTGGTATGTATCACAGCCATTGAAAGGGCAACAGGACGAAGGGAACAGGTTGTTGTGAAACCCGCCACCGACCAAATCGGGTGTGCCGACTCAGGCCAGCTTTCGTCAGCCGATCGGCAAAAACGGTGGAAATGCGAGAACGGGAAGTGGAAAAAGATCGAGAATTTAGAATTGAGCAGCCTCATAGTGAGGTCGTGAGGAATCATCTGACTTGATGCATCCCCGAGGTGCTGTAACCGTGCAGACCTCCGCCAAACCTCCGCAGTCACGGTGCTAGATGGTAACAAGTGTTCTCCCGAAAAATGACAAGTCTCTGCCTGCACATAGGAATTTCCAAAATAAGAATAGCGGAAATATATATCGCCCAGAATAGATCCACACCGCAACCAAGGAAGCACCCAAAGAGCCGAAAAATACACAATACCCCTCACGGGACCTTTTAGAATGTAAATGGCTCAACGACCAGCTTGTTCACCTTGGGCGACAACGCCGAAGAGACGAGCATCGTGTCCGTCCAGGTCGTCCCGTTCTCTGTCGGCGTCTCCGCCAGAGTATAGGTCGGGTCGAAGTTGCCCGCGGACCATCCGAGGTAGCCCAAGAACACTGACCGGCCAGATATCGTCAGCACGCACAGCTGTAGCAGCGGGATATATGCGCTTACCATCGGAGTTAGCTGCCTGGAACGCGATCTGCTGCGACATGAACGTGACGCAGTCCGCCACGTTCCCGCCGCCGGTCTCCGTGTTGAGCGCCTGGCGGCCGTGGCAGCGGAGCCACTGCGCGAGCGGCGCCCACGAGTCGTCGATGTTGTTCGTCACGCAGTCTGGGTGCGAGCCCCTGATGTGCAGGTTCAGCCCGCCTGAGTCAGAGGAATTATAGGTATGGAAGCGCGCACGAGTTGTCGGAGTCGAGGTACTTGTGGACGTCGAAGATGAGGTTGAGCTTCGTGCCGTCGGGATTGCGGACCTTGTTGAGCGCGTCGGCGGAGCCGCTGCTGACGAAGGTCTGCGCGGACGTCCAGTTGTTGCCGGGGAGGAGGATGAGCTGTGTGGTGGCCCTGTGCGGAAGTTAGCACTGGCGGTTCGGAACGCAATTGTCTTCACGTACCCAGCGCGACGAATCGCAGTGACTACGGCCTGTACGGAGGCAGCCCATAAGGTGATGTCGGGCACGTCATGGGGCTCGTTCATACTGTATGTTGCCACGATTAGACTATTTTCCAAATATAGCTGGAGAAGGCGAGGATACTGACACTCCGAAGATGACATTCGGCGTATGCGCGTACTTCTTCGCGATGGAAGACCACAGCCCAGCGAGCACGGAGTTATCGGGGCCACCTTGTCCGACAATCCCCCCGTTGAAGCGAGCATAGTTGTGAATGTCGATGATGCAATGCGCGCCTGTCGAGAGGCACGCCTGCACGAGCGCGTCGTACTCGGCAAAGTTCGTCGCGTTGAGCGTGCTGACCGCGGTCGTGTCGTTCCCCGTGAGGTACTGCCAGCCCACCGGCAGGCGGAAGATGTTGTAACCATCGTTCTGCACGAAATGCTTCATCTGGCCCGCGCCGTCATACCCTGCGCACCGTCACTGTCAGTCAGAGTGCCACAGTGTATACTTATGCGCACGCACCGTAGTACTGGGCAAGCGGGGGCCACGCGCCCGCGACGGTGCACGTCCCGTCGGTCCCGCACCCGAAGTCGAACCCGGCGATGTTCACGCCCGCGAAGCGCAGCTTGCCAGCCGAGATTGAGGGGTGGTTGACGGCGCATGACGGGGCGGGCGCGACGGTGGACGACACCACTGTGCTAGTGAGCGGGTTCGACGTGGACGGTGTGTGGGTCACGGTCGCCGCCGCCGGCATGCAGTTGGCGCCATCCAGGAGTGTTAGCAAACCGAATACGATGAGCGCGTACAAACGTTGAATCGCCATTTTGACTCTGTGAGAGATCGGCTCGTATATGCGCTCTTTATATGCTGTGGAAAGCTATGTTTATGGCCATGCACGACGAACGCCGTGGACGGGTAATGCTCGCGGGTACGTCGGGCAGCGCGGACGCAACAAGAGCGGCGCAGAGTGATGAACTTGCGGGCATTTGTCTCGAATACGTCGGCTGCGGTGCGTATATAGCTGAGCTGGCACTTAGGAGAAGAGTCTGGCTGGTCATGCATCAGTGCAAATCACGCGGCTGCTCACGAGAGATATTCGAGGTGACGGCAGTGCTAATGCATTCAAGTTAACAAATACCCTGGCTCAGCAGACCGCGAAGAAGGGTGATGCATTCAACAGGCCCACGACAACCAACAGGAAAACACGTAGCGTGACACCCAGTGATTACTCCGCACCCTGGCTCTTCTGCACTAGCCGCTTGATCTCGACGTTCTCGAACAGCTCTCCCTGATCCTCCCACTGGCCCTTCGCGGCGTCGACCGCAAACCGCGCAAGAACCTCGACAGATATCGCCGCGCGGGGAACAAATGTCGACAGTGCGTTTCCGAGGAACGTATGGACATAGCGCTCGGTAGTCGAGCGTTGGTGAGGGGCGTCAGCAGGTGCAGGGAAGAAGTAGGAGGGTCGCATGACGGTGGCCTTGATGGCCCCATTCGACGCGTGGGCACTGGCGAGCAGCATGTTCTCGGCGCGCCCCTTGACGCGCGCAAAGAGGATGCGGCTCTTCTCGCTGGAGTCCGTGCCGCCCCCGCTGACGAAAACGACCCGGAACGGGTGCTCCGCGCTGCCGACCTTCGCCTCCTCGAGCACGGCGACGAACGCGCGCAGGTAGCCGAAGGTGAGCTCGGTGTAGGCGACCTCCGAGAGCCCGCGCGTGGACTTGCCGAGCGCCCAGATGCACGCGTCGTGCGCGGAGACGGTCGCGCGCATCTCCGGCGAGTAGTTCAGGAAGTCGGTGTCGGGAAGGACGGTGAGCTTAGGGTGTGTTGCGGTCCCGGTGTCGGGAAGAACGACCCATGTCGGAAGCGGACGTCGGGCGAGAACAGTAACTGTATCGACCGCAGGATCGGTGAGCAGAGTACGCAGGATGGGCAAGCCGGCTTCGCGTAACCATCAGCATTGCAGACATTGTTTATGCCAGCTACCACTCACCAGCGCCTGTCGCTCCTGTTAGAAGGATTTTCATGGTGGTGTATGGGTAGGCTGGAGAAGAATTGTGAGCGATTCCATTGTGGTCGCGTGAGATGGAGTCCAGAACGTCGAGCTGGCCGCGCCGTGCGCGTCCAGCCGGCATCAACGTCCGCCTACCAGCATGATTGATGCTTGCAAGATCAAGCTAATACTCAACCTCGATTCCGGCATGGCCGCCTGGCGAAATGGCATCGCGTCTGACTACGATTTCGTATCGATCAGGAGATTGCAGGTTCGACCCCTGCGCTGGTCAGCTATTGGATCCGTGTTCTTTTTATTTCTTGAAAGTTGTTGAGACTTTTATTCGGCAAGGACAGGCGAATGAAAAAGACACTATCACGAATCCTTCGCGAGCACATGCGTTGAGATGAGTAGCGCGTGGGAGATCTTGATCCGGCATCACCGCATAGGGCTTGAAGCACTCGCGTCGTGCACATCGACAAATTAAACTCTTGCAAACTCGCCGTTACCCATGTACACCTACTTTTCCTACCTGATGAAATCCTTCTCGTCGTCTTGGAGAATCTCGATGACAAGGCAAGGGGTATGCAAAAATAAACTGATTACACAATGTGTCGATCCGCCATTAAGGCGACCTGGGACCCCCTCCCTCCCTCCTACCCCCCTTTCGTACCACATGCCTGCCGAATATTGCTTTGGCAGTGCTGATATATACTATAGCATCAACAACAAGTAGATACATCACGATAACACAGTCCTTCGCCTTTTGGAGACACGGAATCCAGCATTCTTTCGACAATCATCATCACAGAAAAACTCCGCCGGCATTGTCAGGAGCCCCTTACATGCCAGATGATACTGTAAAGTATTTCAATCAGGAATATGCAGACCTGAGAGAGTAAACGGCAATCATACCACTTCCACGCAACCGGGAGAGCTGCATCTCAACGTCTGACATGTAGAATCAAAATTACAGTCACAGTCTGAGCATCTTGCGCTCTCTGGCCTCGGCGGAGATAATACTCGAGGTCTCCTTGTTGAACGACGAGCAGGGAGTTCTCGGGGTATGACTCCTGATGCTTCGAGCTCAGCCGCTGCTACTGGGTGCTGCACAGCAGGACGGTCCCGATCGGGCGACACATTCAAGGCAGCGTCTGCATCCCGACTGGAAGCCTGAGTTGCTGAAATCGGGCTATGATCAGGTGGATCCGGTGTCGAGGCCCTTGAGAAATCGGCGAGCTCCTGGGATTCCTCAACCGGTTGATTAAGT